TGTCTCACATACTTTGGACATGTTATCAGGAGGGACCAGTCCCTGGAGAAGGACATCATGCTCAGTACAGTAGTTCAGCAAAAAAGAGGAAGACCCTCAACTAGATGGATTGACAATGAGCTCAAACACAGCAACCATTGTGAGGATGGCCCAGGAGCAGGCAGTGTTCCATTCTGTTGTGTGTAGGGTTACTGTGAGTCAGAACTGTCTCAACAGCACCTAAGAGCAATGTTTATTCAAGAAGTATAAAAGAACAATATGTCTTCCCACGGTGTGAGATGTGGTGAACTAACTTTAAGCAGAACGTTCACTTTGCTCAGTTAACAAATTAGGCATCCCTAATTTCTTTTCTTACTGAATGCTGATCACGGAAATAGCACATCTTGTGCTCCCGCAGGGAGCCAAGTCAGAGAGCAGAGAAAGTACTTGCTAAAATAATTTTCTCTTCTGTCCTCAAGAGGGAAAAAGCCAGTGGTGGTGACCAGGCATAAGGCTTACTACTGAGCCCTGTGGAAGTCAGTTCCCCTAAAGCCAAATAAACTGTAGTCCCTTATGAAGCCTGCTGAGAAGACCAAAGAGAAAAGACATTCCACTTGTTAAATGTTTATTATTTGAGCTTAGCAGCCAACTATAATACGAGAGAGAGGAAGCTATCTGCAAGCTGCATACTGATTTAGCTACTCAAATTCCATGAAAATGAAATAGAACATTGAGGCTAAACCCTTATAACTTACTAGGCAGTAGCTTAAGGGAGGTGGTAGTTTGTAAAATAAGCTTGGAGCCACTGACATTTGGATCAGTGATTTGAAAGCAGCTCCAGTCAACAAAGAACCAAAATTGTCAGCCCTGGGGAAACCATTGCTTCCTCTATCCTAAGAGTCACAGTCTATCAGAGGAACGGTACAGATCTCCTCTCTCCTAGATCTCCTCTAAATTTGATCTGAGAATAAATGTTTTCAGTTTTCTTCCAAGCAGAATTATCATCTATTAAAATGCGAGTGGGTGGAATGACTATAAGCTAAACATTTCCTTCCCTTATCCCGTACTTCATTGAATGTCTTTTTGATGGACCTCAGTGACTACCCACTCTGTACTTTATTCTGCACAGTCATTCCCTTCTCTCTCAGTAGAAAGGGTCTGACATTCCTTTTACTACAATAATGGTCTGCTGTCGTGCGTTTAATTAATATCTATAGGAATATGCTTTAACTTTCTATAGGATTTTGGGTACAAGTGCTAATAGAAAGGGCAAAATTAGTAGAATATATTTTAATAGACATCAGGATGAAGTAAGCCTATTTGAAAAGATTAATATATATATGGTAAATTTACTACTTACCCAATGCTTGAGTTGATTATGGAATAAATGAAAATAAAGTAATAATGAATTGGAGGGGAAAAAAATCTTTTTTTGGCATGAACTAAATCTTTAATCCTCAAAAATAACAGACATAAAGAGAATGAAGTTTAAGGCAAAAAGGTTTCACTTTCATGTAAATATGAACATGCAGAAAACGGCCTGGCATCTAAAGTTTTAAGGTTCAAATACCAGTTCTGCCACTAATTATCTCTGTCTTCATGGGCAAAGAAGTTCACCTCTCTGAGCTCCATTTTTCCCAACTCAAAAATACATAACAATAGATCCTTCATTTTTCACGAGGTTGAAATGAGGATCAAGAATTTTTTACAAAGTATGCATCAAATTAAAAGTGGATTAATACAGAATCTGATCAATGATTTTAAGAAATCATATATTAAATAATATTAAATAATAATAGCTATTAAATAATTATTAATCTATTAAATCCCCCACGTATCTGTCAGTTTGTTATCCTTTGGGGGCTTGCATGTTGCTGTGATGCTGGGAACTATGCCACCGATATTCCAAACACCAGCAGGGTCACACATGGCGGACAGGTTTCAGCTGAGCTTCCAGACTAAGACAGATGAGGAAGAAGGACCCAGCAGTCTACTTCTGAAAAGGATTAGCCAGCGAAAACCTTACGAACAGCAGCAGAAAATTGTTTGATATAGTGGTGGAAGATGAGCCCCTCAGATTGGAAGGCACTCAAAAAATGACTGGGGAAGAGCGGCCTCCTCAAAGCAGAGTTGACCTTAATGACGTGGATGGAGTCAAGCTTTCGGGACCTTCATTTGCTGATGTGGACTCAAAATGAGAAGAAACAGTTGCAAGCATCCCTTAATAATCGGAACATGAAATGTATGAAGTATGACTCTAGGAAAATTGGAAATCGTCAAAAATGAAATGGAATGTGTAAACATTGATATCCTAGGCATTACTTAGTTGAAATGGACTGATTTTGGCCATTTTGAATCAGACAATGATATGATCTACTATGCCAGGAATGACAAATTGAAGAGGAATGGCGTTGCTTCATCGTCAAAAAGAATATTTCAAGATCTATCCTGAAGTACAGCACTGTCAGTGATAGGATAATATCCATATGCCTATAAGGAAGACCAGTTAACACGGCTATTATTCAAATTTACACACCAGCCACTAAGGCCAAAGACCAAAGATTTTTACCAACTTCTGCAGTCTGAAATTGATCAAACATGCAATTAGGATGCATTGATAATTACTGGTGATTGGAATGCGAAAGCTGGGGACAAAGAAGGATTGGTAATTGGAAGCTATGGCCTTGGTGAGAGAAGTGATGCTGGAGATCGCGTGGTAGAATTTTGCAAGATCAACGACATCTTCATTGCAAATAACTTTTTTCAGCAACATAAATGGTGACTATACACATGGATCTCGCCAGATGGAATACACAGGAATCAAACTGACTACATTTGTGGAAAGAGATGATGGAAAAGTTCAATATCATCAGTCAGAACAGGGCCAGGGGCCAACTGTGAAACAGACCATCAATTGCTCATATGCAAGTTCAAGTTGAAGCTGAAGAAAATTAGAACAAGTCCAAGAGAGCCAAAGTATGACCTTGAGCACATCCCACCTGAATTTAGAGACCACCTCAAAAACAGATTTGATGTGTTGAACACTAATGACTGAAGAACAGACGAGCTGTGGAATGATATCAAGGATATCATACATGGAGAAAGCAAGACGTCCTTAAAAAGACATGAAAGAAAGAAAAGACCAAAATGGATGTCAGAAGAGACTCTGAAACTTGCTTTTGAACGTCAAGTAGCTAAAGCAAAAGGAAGAAATGATGAAGTAAAAGAGCTGAACAGAAGATTTCAAAGGGGGGCTCAAGAAGACAAAGTGAAGTATTATAATGATATGTGCAAAGACCTGGAGGTAGAAAACCAAAAGGGAAGAACACACTTGGCATTTCTCAAGCTGAAGAACTGAAGAAAAAATTCAAGCCTTGAGTTGCAATACTGAAGGAGTCTACGGGGAAAATATTAAACGATGCAGGAAGCATCAAAAGAAGATGGAAGGAATACACACAGTCACTGTACCAAAAAGAATTGGTCGACGTTCAACCATTTTAGGAGGTAGCATACGATTAGGAACCAATGGTTCTGAAGGAAGAAGTCCAAGTTGCACTGAACGCCATTATAATGTTGGCAAAGAATACTGAATATACCATGGGCTGCCAAAAGAACAAACAAATCTGTCTTGGAAGAAGTACAACCAGAATGCTCCTTAGAAGCAAGGATAGTGAGACTACGTCTCACATACTTGGGACATGTTATCAGGAGGGATCAGTCCCTGAAGAAGGACATTGTGTTTGGTAAAATAGAGGGCCAGTGAAAAACAGGAAGACCTTCAACAAGAGGGACTGACACAGTGGCTGCAACAATGGGCTCAAGCATAACAATGATTGTGAGGATGGTGCAGGACCAGGCAGTGTTTCGTTCTGTTGTACACAGGGTCACTATGAGTCAGAACCGACTCGATGGCACCTAACAACAACAACAATCTATTAAATAACAATAATTTAATAATCATCATCATCAATTAAATACTAATAGCTATCATTCAGTGCCTAATATGTGCTAGGACACATCTCATCTCACTATTCTTAAAATAGATTCCCACTGTTAAAGTACATAACTTCTAAAATCTATTGCGGAGCAAACTCTTCGAGAGATTTATATATTTGTGTTTAGTTGTATGATACTTGAAGCACAAAAGGTAGTAAACTTCTCCTTGATATATCAAGTATAACACTTAGCACCTAATGCTTAGTTGCTTACAAGTATGTCTTCCTATCCCCAGACAAAACATAAGCCCTTGTGGGAGGGACTGCTTCTATCTTTATTCTCAGAGTCTTCCACAGCACCTTCCACAAAGCAAGTGCTTCTGAAAGGCACAGTCTCTCCTTCATTCATCCTGTAACTGTTAAAGATACCTAAAATGATACCCTCTTCCACTACCAGCACTCCCTCCCCATCAGCCCCTGGGAGGAACTCTAAAGTGCCCGCTTCCGTAAGATTGCTAAAATATCGATATTAAGTAGTGGTACAAAAGACAGGGAGCCCCTGGGTGGTGCAAACAGTTAAGCGCTTGACAACTAACTAAAAAGGGTGGCAGTTCAAACCCACCCGAGGCACCTCGGAAGACATGAGTCAGAATTGACTTGATTACAACAGAAAAAGACAGAATCTCCTTTTTAAAGAAAAACTAATGTTTATGTTCTCATATACCATTCACAAATGCAAGGTACTTGCTTGAAACATACAGTGTTAACATATAAAAATAATAAGCCTTCACCTTAAAACAGATAATGTTTTCAAATTAACTTTGTATATTTTAACTAAATTAACCATTTTAATGAAACTGATGTACATATTTGATGTTGAAGACATTAGTATAATATAAATACTCGAGGTTTCTGTTCATTTTGATTTCTGATATACTTCATTAAAAATTACTAAAACATACTGTGCTGTCCTACATTTAAGAACCTCTGCTCAGCTCATCATTTCCTGCCTGGTGCCGCCTGTTTACCAGGCATCATCAGTATTATTAATGTAGGTTCTTCTACAGTAAATTATCCTCTCAATACCTGTTAATTTTGGATTTTTTCCAGTTGACTTTTTTAATACCCAAATCCACATATGATTCAGTGAGTTCTATATTTAATTCTCCTTCTGAGTCACTCGGCAGTATTCCTAATTTTGCAGCAGATTCATAGAGAGAAATCTCATTTTTTAGTTCTGTTAGTTCTTCCTAAAACACAAAAATATTGAAAATTACTTT